ATTGGATGGAAAGACGTTTGAAACGGATAGTGAAAGCCAACTATAAAAATACAGTTTGTTAAAAATTATAAAAACGTGTCTCTGTGGGTCTGAAAAGTGAAATGTGAACAAAATGAGAAAAATGMATGGAAAGACGTTTGAAACACTGAKATGGCGAAGGCGATGAAACAATAAAAATATATTTTGCTAAAAAATCATGAAAGCTAATACATTTTTTGATCATTAGATTAAAAAATTGGGAAAAAATCAACAACTTTTAAAATCAATTAACACTATGAGGACTATCCAACACCTCGAAATTTTCGTTTATATATCATTGGATACGACCTCTTTTTATAATTGTCAGACCTTTTAACTGGTACGTGTGTATCGTACACTGATATGGTGCTTTTATGTTTCAACGTGAACTCGAGGCTAGTAATTGGTCGCCATAATTCGATTCGACGTATGCTTTGGAACTTTTCTCTAGAAAAAAATCTCAGTTGTACGAATGAAAAAAAAAGTTTCACAGATGGCATCTTGTCGCACGGTTGTACAGTCCAGTTCGTAAACTACGTTAAGCTAGGGAGTAACATCGTCCGCAATGTTGCAAGCATTCGATGTTGAGGGCCATGCCACACGACCCAATTCGTTTCACGCAATGCTGCTGAAGTAGAAAATGATCCAATACTTCAGCAACATTGCCTGCAATATGTTGCTCTGTGTGTCCGACAAAATCGTTTCGCAACCGATGCTGTCGCACGCCTGGTCTAAAGCAAAAGATTAATCCACCAGCTATTGTTACAGTACAAATTATTCGTGGAAGTACAAAATAGTACAAACATTAATATGAATAAGTCAACTGATTTGTGTTGTATAGCAACATCATCTACAAGAACTTGGTCATCATAGTTTTTATTTACACACACCAGACAAGGTGTTATTTGGAGTCCACTAAAGAGTGATTGGTTGTAACTCATACATTTTAGAATATTTCAGGATATTAAAACAAACGTCACTTCCTTTGTGTGCTCAGCTTCGTTCTTTTTTCAATCTCAAACCGATCGTATTAGTTTGTTTTTTTGACTTGATGGATAAGTTCATTTAAATCGAGAGAAAAAAAAACCGTTCTGAATTCTATAAGTGTGTCAACTTGTCGACTATCTTGCAATCCACACTGACAACATCAATGAATCCAATAATTGTATTTAATGATATAATATAATATAATACCATAACATAATACAGAATAATAGTCTAATATTTGAAATTCAGCTGGGAGCAAACAAACCAGCTCGCGACGACAAATCCAGCGATAATAAGAACGCTTTTCTGTGCGATATCTTYTTTAACGATCCGTGTAGCTTTGTCTTAAATTCGGCCAGAAAATCATGAGTGAATGAAGTGACAATAAAGTTCGCAACAGCGCAAAGAACAATCTAAAAACAAATGAACAACGATAGGGATTTTTTTATTTGTTTTCCTCCACTACAGGAGTAGATGCATTATTTGATTCACAATAAACTCAGTCGATAATTTTTCATTATATTTTTTAAAATGAAACGTGGGAAAAATATCTTGGGTTGAATGAAAGCAGATGGTGGCATGATGTCGACTCGGTTGCATCCGCTAGACGTGACTAACTATATTCAACAATACAGTTGTAATAAGAAGTTCAAATATGATAACATATGATAGACATGAAGTCATAATTTCTCATAACATATCGGGGACATTTGGCTATTGCCATTATCGTTCCCAGGCGCTATTGTTGGTCTCCATCAAGAAACGCAATCAACATGGCGGCCATCTTTTTGAAAAAGGGAAGGGATGTCCGTCACCTACAAATTGATTAAGTGAGTGTAAGGTTTTCCTATTTAAAGCCGCGTGCCATTTCCCTGAGTATGATTTCTTTTCTCTTGATAACGGTTAAGAAGATGATAATGAAATCAGATGGATGAAACTCAAATCGAAGGAATCGTACACTCAATGGAATGACGCTGAACTCGGAAAACATTACGTCAAACTTAATTGCTGAATTACTGTGGTATGAAATCGTATATACCACGAGCAATCAACCAATCAGAAAGCAATACTTAACAACCAGTTATTAATTTTGGGCACTGATGCCAATGTTAAATTTGACGACCCCTTCACTGACATGGATCTGAGGCGGGGACTGTAAAATATTTCTGAAGCTTTCTTCCTTTCATTGAATTCTTATTACAGGCGTCATGCAGAGCCTGTTGCTTGGAATCATC